CTACTATGCACACCTGTGAGAACCCAGGACTTCTTGTTCAGGAGTGTCCAGAATTGTAGGATGCTGGGACCTTTCCAGGAACCAGCAGAGTCTTCTGAGAACCAGGCCTCTGGGCAGAGCTGGGGGCAGCGGCCAGGCCATCCTATCCACGTTGGGGCTGCAAGTGCCCTGGGCAGAGGGAACAGCCTGTTCCTGGCAATGCTAGCTGGGCACTGAGGATCTTGGGGGCCCAAGGACAAGTATGCTATGTGTTTGCCACTCTGACTTCTGTGGGACACATAGCAATAGTTTTCTTTTCCCAGACGGTGACTCCTTTGTCTCTTAGCCTTGTCCTTTCCAATCCTGGCTTCCTGTCCCTTTCCTGAGGCCTGGACATTTGGGGGCAATAAAAAGTTTGGTTTAGTTGAATCAAAAATTTCCATCTCCGCCAGGCAATGGTGACCCATGCCTTTGATTCCAGCACTCAGGAGGCAGAGGCAGGTGGATCTCTGTGAGTGTGAGGATAGCCTGGTCTATAGAGCGAGCTCCAGGACAACCAGGGCTACACAGAGAAACCCTGTCTCTACCTCCTGGCTCCTCCCAAAACAAAACCTCCATCTCAGATCTAATTACATGGTCTTCTTGTCACTTCCTGTAGAACCAACTAGGGCTGGGGAGGAGGAATGGAGGGGAGGCAAACAGAAGAGAGGGACTGACTAGGAGGAAGAGGAGGGGGTGGGGGAGGGAAGAGGAGGAGGGAAGAGGAGAAGAGAGAAGAGGAGGGGGAGGAGAGGAAGGAGAGGAAGGAGGAAAGAGAGAGGAGGAAGGAGAGGAAGAAGGAGGGGAGGAAGGAGAGGAGAAGGGAGCGGAGGAAGAGGAGGAGAGAGAAGAGGAAAAAAGAGGAGGAGGGAGGGAGGAGGGTGAGGAGGGAGAGGAGGAGGGAGAAGAGGAAGGAGAAGAAAAGGGGAGGAGACGCAGGAGGTGGGAGAGGGAGGAGGGCTAGAAGGCAAGGACAGGAAAAGTCATAAGAGGAGGGAAAGAGAGAGGCAAGGATAAAACACTACCAAACCGCTGCAGTCTGCCATTGGCTCACTGCTCAACACCAGGCACTATCTTGGGGTCAGCATCTAAAGGGCCATGGTGAGATTTTCAGGTCTTCAGTTCGCTTTCCCATTCTTATTTGTGATGGTTCCTGTTGATTATCAACTTTACAGGATCTCCAGTCACTTAGGAGACATGCCTCTGGGCATGTCTGTGAGGGAGTTTCTAGACTGAAGGGATTGAAATGGGAAGACCTACTTTGAAGGTGGGCGGCACCATCCTGCGGGCTGGGGTCTGGGGCTGAATACAGAACAGAAAGCGAGCTGAGTTCCAGCACCTGTCTCTTTCCTGACCTCGGATGCCACATAACCAGTGACTCTGCCTTCCCTACCTGTGATCAGCTACAGCTTCGAACCGTGAGCCAGAATGAGCGGTTCCTTCCCTCGGGTGCCTTCTAGTTAGGTGTGTTGTCACAGCCACACAAGGAACTGATTCAGAACAGATTTGTTACACAAAGCGGCGGATTTGTTATATAAAGTGGCTGGTTCTGTACGATGTTTTAGCCGTCATATATCGTGCATTTTGACTCACCAAGAGCTCTAGGCACCAGGTGTTTGGAGATAAGGCTGAGGTCAGGCTTACCGAAGGTGATCAGAAAGATGTTTGGATTGTGTTCCTGTGTTTTGTAAAATTCCACAGCCCTTAAACCTGAATGAAATACCCCCACCCTCACCTCCCACCCCCTGAGACAGGGTTTCTCTGTGTAATCTTGGCTGTCCTGGAACTCACTTTGTAGACCAGGCTGGCCTTGAACTCACAGAGATCCACCTGCCTCTGCCTCCCCAGTGAGGGGATTAAAGGCGTGCGCCACCACTGCCTGGTGAAATAATCTTTCTTAAATTTTGAAACGGGATCTGACTGTGTGGCCCAGGCTGGTCTCAAATTCATGATCCTCCTGCCTAAGCCCCTGGAGTGCTGAGTTTATAGGTGTCTGCCACCATGCCAAGCTGGGGATGATCATCTCTCTCTTTTTTAAAAATGTATGCATATGTATGTTTGCCTTCATATCCTACAGAGCTCATACGGAGATCAGAGGACAAGCTTTGGGGTTGATTCTCTGTTTTGACCATATGTGGCTCAGGGATTGAACATAGTCCTTGGACTTGGCAGGAGGATCCTTTACTTCTGAGCCATCTTGCCAGCCTGAAACTACCTTCTTATGTACACACCCATTTTCCACTTCTCTCTTAGGTGCAAATTCCATGCAGTCTGTCAGGCTGTTCTTCTGTCTATACCCTGAATGAATGGATGGATGGATGGATGGATGGTTGGATGGATGGATGGATGGAAGGATGGATGGATGGATGGATGGATGGATGGATGGATGGATGGATGGATGGCCTTCTGGCTGGGAGAAGGTTTGACCTCATATCTATGCATCCTTGCCAGGCCCTCAGGCACCAGCGAAGTTGCTGCTCCTCTCAGTGGTGGCCCCACCTTTGCCTAGAGAACCTTGGGACTGGAGTAAGGGAGTCTCTGGCATGAGGAACAGAACCTGAAATTCTGTTTTTTGACCACCAGGGGTCGCTCACGCCACATAAAGAAGCCACTAAGCCCTGTTGTGTGCGGAGAAATCTTTTCTGAGTTCTGTGTGCAGCCTGCTGCTCGGTCTTATTAGCACCTACCTAGGTTTGTTCCCCCAGAACCTGACAGGTGTGACCAGCACAGGCCTGGGCAGCTGTAGATGAGAATGTGGGCTCTCTCTCTCTCCCTCTCCCTCCCCCCCACTGTGTGTGTGTGTATACATAAGTGAGGAATACTAAGGCTCTAGAATCATCTGCCCACCTCCCATCAGATTCGGCCTGAGCCTCCTGAAAGGCCGGCTGTGCAGGACCATTCATGCGTATGAGCAGCCCTCCTAGACTGCAAGCCGGACAGGAAAGCTCAGCTGACTGCAGAGGGCAAACCCCTCCACCCCCACCTCTCCCAGAGAACTAGCCAGCTCCTGTGCTAGGGCTTAGCTTAGGGTTCAGGGGCCAAGCTTCAGAAGTCCCCTCCAGGTCTTACTAAAGCTAGATTGGCCTATCCAGACTCCAGCCTATATAACTGAGTTCTGGAATAATCTATTACAACACCCAGGAAGATTTCAAAACTCAATGAGTCACTTGGCCATTGAGCTGGTATTTCTCACCTCATGTGGAACAAAGTTTATCTGTCTGTCTGCCTGACTATCTATCTATCTATCTATCTATCTATCTATCTATCTATCTATCTATCTATCTATCTATCTACCTTTTATTATAACCCATCCTCTGGGCATGTCCCAGTCTCCTTCTTTGGCTATAAAGGCAACACCCCTTCTCTGGGGTGTCCTGACCCCCTTCTCTCCCTGCCCATCACAAAGCTCTGTGGCCAGGCCTGGCTATGTTCAGTGTAGGCCAGGCAGAGACACAGCCTAGATTCTCGTTCTTATTCAAAGCCACTAACTGGTTGTGACTTTGGCTTTGCAAGTCTCTGCTTCAGCTTGCTCATCTGTAAAGACCATCACGGTCTTTAGCTCCCTGGACAGTGTCCACCATAGACTGACAGGTGTGACTCTGAGGCCCGGAAAGGCCTGGAGTGAGACTTGTATAAGTTCTGTCATGATGCGTGACGCTGGCAGAATTGAGACCCCTCAGTTAGTTCCACTAAATCCTTTCACTATGCAGCTGGAGAAACTGAGGAACAAGGACACTACACATTGTCACCATACCTAGTTACCAGGCTGGCTTCTGGGTACTCTGTAGCCCGTAGGTTTCTTTCTTGACTCTATTGCTTAATTTTTTTTGTAATTTATTTATTTATGTATTTTTAAAATGTATGCGAGCTCTGTCTACCTGTACGCCCGCACACCAGAAGAGGGCATCAAATCCCATTGCAGATGGTTGTGAGCAGCCATGCACAATGTGGTTGTTGGGAATTGACTCAGGACCCTTGAAAGAGCAGTCAATGTTTTTAACTCCTGAGCCAACTCTCCACTCCTGTATTGCTATATTTAAGACAGGCACTGGCTCAGCCAGGCGGCATAGGCCCAAGGCCAGCACTGAGAATGTTGTCCAAGCTTTCTCTGGCCCTCTGACCTTTCTGCTTAGGCTGGCTGCCTTCATGTTCCAGGACAGGCTTGCAGTCAGCATTCCATCAGTAGGCAGCACCTCCTGGGAGCTTATTAGAGACCTGGATTCTGGGACTGGGGAGATAGCCCAGTGAATAAAACACTGGCCTCACAAGCATGAAGACCTGAGTTTGATTTCTAGACCTCATATAAGAAGCAGGGCATAATGGAGAACACTTGCGATCCCAGCGCTGGACAGGTAGAAGCTGGACAGCCAGTTTAGCTGAACTGGCAAGTTCCAGGTACAGCGAGAGACCCTGTTTTAAAAACAAGGTGGCTGGCACCTAAGGAATGACACCTGAGGTTATCTCTGACCTCCACACACCTGCATGACATATACACACCCCCACATCCCACCCACATCTATATTTACATGCTAGAAGTGCAGAGTCTCAGGGTCACTGGCACCTTAGATTCAGAACATCTGGGGGCGGGAGGAGTCTGAGTGTGTATGTTCCAAGCTTGCCCTCCGTTCTCATGCCCACTCAAGTCCGAGGAAAGCCATCAGCCACGAGTGACCCCCTCGTTCCACATGTGTAAGACTGCAGCGAAGGTTTGATCTCAGCATCACAGCAGAATGTGGTCTGCCGTGATTAATCTTGATTGTCAACTTTAGGGGATCAACCAAGAGACTCGCCTCTGGGTGGGTCTGTGAGGGCATTACCATGAAGGGTTAACAGGTAGGAGGAGCCCTTCCCCAGAGTGGGCAGCATCTTCTGGTGGTCCAAGGGGAAAGCGGTGCTTTGCCTGTTTGCCTTTCTGCCTTGCTTGTGAGTATATCTACTCTGTTGGCGACACCACTACAGCTGCCCTCTTTTACTAACGCCAGAATCCAGCTTCTTCAGCCGTCCATCTTGGACCGAGGACAGGCAGCTCCACCAGGAATCCAGTGGGTTGGCCTTCAACACCATGCTGAGAATGCTCAGGCACCCAGCCTCACAGACTGAGGAGCAGCCAGCGTCTCAACCTCCTCAGCATGCAGACAACCACTGTTGGACTACCCAGCCCCTATCTTGGAAGCCAATGTAATAAATCCCGTCTGTAACATACATTCATTCTTTTAGGTCTGTTCTTCTAGAAACTCCTGAGTAGTGGCTGGAGAGATGGCCCAGCAGTTAAGAGGATTTACTGCTCTCTAGAGGACCCAAGTTCAGTATCCAGCACCCACTTTGGGTGGCTCATTACTGTCTGTAACCCCAGTTCAGGGGAATGAATAGCCTCTTCTAGTCTTCTAAGATACCTGCACCCATGTGGCATATGCTCACCCAAACACAGACACATAGATATAAATAAAATAATTATATTAGTAAAGAAGCCTGAATAATGCAGATATATAGCTCACTAGACCATTAGGCTGTGAAGCATGTGGCCAAAGCCTCGGTACAGAATGAATCTGAGGGCTTAATTTAGGGGTGTCAAAACCACCCAGGCAAACATCACCATAAATTAGGGATCATTCTTCTGGAAGAGAAATACAGCCACCTGTTGTGGCCAGAAGAGACTGTTCAAGCCCCTGAGAGGCAGTGCTGGGTGCCATGGTAACAGTGTATAAAATTAACATGGTCCTATCTGAATGCATTTTCTATTTTCATTTTATTTGCATCAGTGTTTTACCTGAATGCATATCTTGTGTGAGGGTATCAGACCCTGGAGTTACAGACAGTTGTGAGCTGCCTTGATGGTACTGGGAATTGAACCTGGGTCCTCTGGAAGAGCAATCAGTGCTCTTAACCACTGAGCCATCTCTCCAGCCCCGTGAATGCATTTTCTAAATCTTACCTGGTAGTTGCTTTTCTCACTGCTGTGTCAAATAGCCAACAGAAGCAGCTTAGGGTAAGTTTGGCTGATGGTTTGAGTGGGTTTAGTCCATCGTGGTGGGGGAGGTGTGGTGGAGTTGATGGTAGTGGGAGTGTTGGCTGGAGTTTCTCACATTTTGGTAGATCAGAAACCTGGGAACCTGGAGCTAGAAGTGGGGCCAGGGCATAACTCTCAAGGCTTTCCCACATGAGATATACTTCCTCTGGCTGGGCTCTACTTCCTAAAGGTTCCATAACATCCCTAGTCAGCTCCACCAAGTATTCAAACACATGAGTCTGAGGAGGGAGGATATGCCACATCCAAACCAAACAACTAAAATTGCTCTCTAAATTATCCATGATCAGGTCTGTAGTGGTATTGTGTTCCCAAAATATTGTGCATGCTAATAAACTAATCTGGGGTCACAGAACAGAACAGCCACAATATTAAACATAGAGGATAGGCAGTGGTAGCACATGCCTTTAATCCTAGCATTCCAGAGACAGAGATCTACCTGGATCTCTGTGTGTTCAAGGATACAGCCAAGCATAGTGACTCATACCTTTAGTCCCAAGAAGTGAGCCTTTTAATCCCAGGGAGTGATGGCAGAAAGCAGAAAGATATATAAGGTGTGAGGACCAGAAACTTGTAGCTTTTAGTTGGTTGAGATTTCAGGCTTTGGAGCAGCAGTTCAGCTGAGATTCATTCTGGATGAGGACTCAGAGGTTTCCAGTCTGAGGAAACAGGATCAGCTGAGGAACTGGCAAGGTGAGGTAGCTGTGGCTTGTTCTGCTTCTCTGATCTTCCAGCATTCACCACAATAACTGGCCTTAGGTTTGATTTAATTAATAAGACCTTTTAAGGTTCGTGCTACACAGGTCTTGTTCCAGTTCTCCTTGGATGTGCCCTTCTATTCTTTTCCTCTTCTGCCTATCAAGCTCTTGTTTACCCTTTGATACCCAGCCAAAGTGACTCCTGCTTACCCTTTGATACCCAGCCCAAGTGGCTCCTGCTCACCCTTTGATACCCAGTCCAAGTGGCTCCTGCTTACCCTTTGATACCCAGCCCAAGTGGCTCCTGTTCACACTTTGATACTCAGCCCAAGTGGCTCCTGTTTACCCTTTGATATTTAGCTCAAATGTCCCCTTCTTCCCATTTATACTCACCAACTTTCTCATACCATCTTCAAGTGTCTGGTACAAACACAAATGAGCTTCATTTTAGAGCTAGTTTTGTTCTTGCAAGGTAATGCAGGCTCACTTGTCCTTCTACCCATGATGAGCTGTGATTGTTATGATCATAGGTACCAGTGAGTAAGACTCAAATATCTCTCTTTGGAAGATAGTGTAAGTGACAATGCAAGGGATTATAGCAATTGGCAGTTGAAGACTTGACTTGTTAGTAATTGTCCCAGGAGGGGCTTTGAACCCTCCTACTGTGGTGTGGTGATGTACTGGAACCAACTCAGATTATCTGGCAAGAGCTCTGTATAGGTGTTTCTTCCCAGCTTTCAATTCAATGGCATCATGCTGCCTGTCAAAAATTTGCCCTGGTGGAACTATTTACATCAGAGAAACTGGTGAATGTTATCAATGAGGCTTTTTGATCCCCTTGCCTTGGTATGTGTGAGTTTTCTACCAGAGCTAATCAACCTAAAAAGAAGAAAAGGTTTGGATTGTGGTCTTGTACACTTTATGGTCACTGTTTTATGTTATGATGCATCTGCAGATACAGCACATTGTGGTGGGAATTCATTGTAGAACAAGTTGTTTACCTCATAGTGGCCAGCAAATAGAGAGAGGAGAGGAACATCCAGACTTAGGACCCCTTTAAGCGCATTCTCAATGATTCAACATCCTTCTATTAGTCCTCACCTTGGAAAAGTTCCACCATTTTCCGGTAGTGATGTGGGCTGGTGGCTTGGCCTACAACACGTGGAAGTCTGGGGTTCCTTTTCCAAACCTTAGTGTCTTCCCCCCTCATTTATCACCTCCAAAGGCACCTGCTTTCCTTGGTACCCGTGCTGCCTGGTGGATGAGCAAGTGTGCTCCCTGGCAGAGGATGCTCCCCAGAAACATGGGAGGATTTCCTGCATGTGAGTGGAGGGGCACAGGTAGAGCGTCCACTCCCTGGGGCCAGCAGGGGGGCAGTTTCAAATTCCGGTTTCCCTGTGGACTACATGGCCAGGACCTATCTGAGGCTGGGTTTGCCTGCATGAGTGAGCCACTGATGTTGGCTCAGCAAATACAGTCCCAAGCCCGCTGCTGATGGGCGTGGCCAAAGGTGGAAGGGTACAGTGATAAAGGAGAGCCTGCATGATTTACAGCCACAGCCGAGACAGCAGGGCTGTGGATAGCACGAAGATGGAGGAGCACTGGCAAGACCCTCATGGGTGAGGGATCTGCGTTTCATTGAGACGATGTGTTGGAGTCCACACAGCGGAGATTAAATAGCCCGTTGCCTGAATGCAAAAAGGTGGAAATAAATCAGGCTTTACTGCAAGCAGGGTGGCAGGGAGTTAATTAGGAAAAGGAAAAAAAATACATTTTGACTTACAAAGAGACTGGGTGAGCATGCAGAGGAGGAAGGGGGTCTCTTTTGTTTCCCATCAGAAGCTGTGCGTGTCTGGGAAGGATGACCCTCGGGTGTGTCCTGGCTGGAGAGGCAGGGGCTGCCTGCTTGCTACCCATGGAGCTGAGTCAGGTCTTGCGTGTGCCCTGCCAGTGTGAACTTGGAGGCCGGGGAACCGGTGTCTGGGATTATCGTGGTGCAGGGGAGGTTATGCCAGAGTTATGACTCTATAATGCACAGATAAGGAGATTGCCTTGAATCTCCCAGGCTTATTTTATCTCTTTCAGCTTCCCAACTAGGCAGGGCTTTCTTCCGGCTCCTTGTCCCTCCCCCTCAGGCTCTGTTCTAAGCCAGTCAGTATTGTTTACATGAGGCTCCACCCCGGGAACGCCTCTTCAATTTCTCCTCTGAGCCGACCACCATTCTTACAAACCCAGCTTGATTTCCAACATTCAATCAATAATGTTAATTGGGCATGGTGGCACAGATCTGTCATCTCAGTTACTTGGGAGGATGAGGCAGGAGGATAGACGTTCAGGGACAGCGCAGTCAACTAAGAGAGAACCTGTTTCAAAATAGAAGTAAAAATGACAGCTAGGGGGCTGGCAAGATGGCTCAGTGAGTGGACAAAGACACTTGCTGTCAAGCCTGATGATCCGAGTTCGATTCCCAGAACCCACATGGTGGTGACCCCCACCTATGTCACACATGTGTGTACGCGTACACACACATGCACACACACACACAAACACACACACACTCACACACTGACCCTCCTGTTATAGGAAAGGTAGTAGACTGCAGGGAGCCCACATGGAAAGGAGACCTTTGCTGTGGCCCATGGGAGGTGACAGTGGCTGCACTGGAGAATGACAGCTATGATAAAGAGGTGACAGACTCAGTTGGACGGCTGCCCAGGCTGGCACGTCTCACTTTGCTATGTTTGCATCACGGCTGCTAAAGTTCCTTCCCCGGGTGAGACACAGGCATCTCCTCTTACTCCTAAGGTCCCAGTGACAAACCAAGGTACAGTGTCACCAAAGTTCACCCAGGAATCAGTTTATTAGACTTACTTACAGAGCAGCAAGTGAGGAATTACGGGCAGGAGCATGGGTGACCTCAAAACAGCCACACTGGGAGGCCTTTACCAGCATGGAGGATGACTGTCCATGCCTGTGCAGACAAAGTCCCCTCCCCTCATCCCACCCCACCTACATCTTCTAGCGCTTCCCAGAGACCCTAAGGCCAAGTGCAATTAGGGCAGAATTGCGTACAACTGGTTGGGAGAGATGGCTGGATACCAAGGTGAGGGTCCTATGACCTCCTTCCCCTCTCCTGTGAGGGAATATCAGCGGTCACAAGCCCAGTTACCATGGTCCTTTGCAAGCATGCTCATCTGAACTCCTAAAGATGGTGGTGGTGTGGTGACGAGGAGAGTCCTGTACAGCAGTCGTGTACTCCCGTGGGCATTGCTTCTCCGTGGAGCCCTAAGATTCCCCGGGAGGCTTTCCTAAGCACTGTTTCTCCAAGGAGAACCCTGCAAAGCGGGGAGAAAGCCACCTTTGCTGGGTCCCTACAGGGGTGGGGGTGGGGCAGATCCCTTGCTGGGATCCTAGGAACTCCTTCATGATGGCGCACACCATCACCTTCGTTTCATGGAGGCTGCGGGTTGATCTGGAAGTC